TGATTCACAACAACCAACTTCTCCTATAGGTTTCCTCTTTTTGAAACTTCCGCCACCGCCTTGTGCGGTACTACTGGTATGATGGTAAATTGTTACTAATTATACCTATTGAAAACGGCCATTCATAGTGGATTTTCCCATTAAACATGGTGGTTTTCCATAGTTATGTTAGTTTACCAGAGGGTATATGATGGTGGTATAAAACCAATTTTCCAGTACCCTCTGGTAAACTGTCCCATAACTATGGAAAACCACCATTTTATAGCTAGGTAAACCATCTATTTCTATGGGCCATTTTCCATGGCTATGTTAAATAACCAGAGGGTATATAACGGTATATATGTTTAATTTATGTATAATTTATGTATATATATATATAAGTAAGAGAAAACCACATATATTATTATCGAGCTGGATTTTACCAACTTGTTAAAATAGTTTTACCTGGTATCACCTACTGGATTTTTTTTGTTTTTGTATGTTTTTGTTTTTGTTTTAATATGCAAAAAAAGCACGGTTTCCTTTTTTAGTTTTGCAAATGTCCCAGCAACATGATTAATTTAAAACAAACAAACTGGTGATATCCACTTAATGCAAGTTGTGAATAATGTTTTTCCCCCCTCAACCATGGTCAATATACATATTATACATATATATATATATATATCCTGAAGAGGTTACCCACCGACAATTCAATTGAAATCAACCATGTTTACATCACGTTTAAACAACAAACCTAGAAATTCAGCAGGCAACAGTGATGTGGATTAAAGATCATCAACTTTTTGGTTGGTCAAAAGATGTTTTTCTTTCAATCTTGAGACATTTTGGACAACAGAATGGCTTGCAAACAAGTTCAAGAATCCCTGGATAGACCACGGAGATTTGGGATTACATGCGTAAATGGACATCACGTAGAGTCCAAACAGATGTTTTCAGACCACAACAGTCGACCTCAACAGACCTGCAAACGACCAGAATCGACTGCACCCTGTCCTCGGGCAGAAGGTTAAGAATCGTTCGGAAAACGGAACGATACCACCCGCCAAACGAAGCTGACTTTTTTTCATAGAAATACCTTCCCCAAATGAACAGCTTGATTGTGAGAATCGCTGATTTTTAGGTTGAAGAACAACATCAATTTTGATGTGTCATGGCAACCCCAGGCTGTGTTGATCTCGGCAGGACGTCCACTTCTTGGACTACTTCTTTGCCTCCTGGTAGCTTGGCGGAAAATGCTGGGGTGACGATTTCATCCGATTTCTTATGCTTGGTTCATCAAATGTGGCTGGAAAAAACGATTGACTGGTTGGTTTCAAACATGATTTTTTGATATTTCCCCACCTGCCAGGTGAGGGTTGTTAGATTTTATCAGAGTTGTTCTCCTCCTCCTCCTCGGCTAGCTGTCCTCCTCCTCGTCCTCGTCCTCGTCCTCCTCCTCCTCCTCTAGTTTCTCCTCGACCATGTCTGCATCAACTTCCACCTGCACTTCCGCCTTGCCAACTCTTCGCCAAGCTCTTTGCCAACTCTCTTCGCCGACTCTCTGCGCCAAGCTCTTTGCCAACTTCCCAGCTCAGTGTGCACCGCTGGACCTCAACCTGGGAGCTGCCAGCTCAGTGTGCACCGCTGGACCTCAACCGGGACCTGCCCAGCTCAGTGTGCACCGCTGGACCTCAACCGGGGACCTGCCCAGCTCAGTGTGCACCGCTGGACCTCAACCGGACACCTGCCCAGCTCAGTGTGCACCGCTGGACCTCAACCTGGGACCTGCCCAGCTCAGTGTGCACCGCTGGACCTCAACGGCCAGATAGAATGCCAGAAGATGTGCCAGATGGAATGTCAGATAGAATGCCAGAAGATATGCCAGGTAGAATGCCAGAAGATATGCCAGGTAGAATGCCAGAAGATATGCCAGATAGAATGCCAGAAGGTATACCGGATAGAATGCCAGAAGATTTGCCAGTAACAAAATGTATAAATGTCATGGTGGGGATCACACGAAGTAAAGTAATTTTTGATTTTCCATTTACAAAACCGGTCGGTGATTTGGAACATGGATTTTATTTTTCCATATGTTGGGAATGTCATCATCCCAACTGACGAACTCATATTTTTCAGAGGGGTAGGTATATCACCAACCAGAAAATTTCCAACTGGTTACTTCACTTTCTCTTTCGCTAGCCCGTCCAGGTGAATATGCTCTCCACAAGCGATAGCTGTTGATTTAGTTCACAGGTGACTTCAATTATCTTCAGTTCAGTTCTCTCGTTGGTGGTACATATCCAACAAATGAGTGAAATTAGATAGACATATTAATGATATTAGAATATATTAGACATCCTAACAGTGAATAGATGTTCAGATTCTCATAGTCTAAATATTCTAACAACTTTTAACATATAGAATCCAATATTCTTCAGATTTAACATTGTTAACTCTGAGCTTTCCATCGTTTTTCCATGTTTTTTCCATGGTTCTTCTGCAATGTTCAGAGGTTCGCGGTGGAGATCCTGTTGAGGATCATCCCCAGGGGAGCTGTGGACTTCTATTCCGGCAAGGCGGGCAGCATTTCTGGATGATGTCTTGATGATTTTTGAGATGTTCGTTATGATAAGATTGATAAATCATAGGGATATAATATAACATGATATAATATAATATGATATAATATAATATAATATATATATATATGTGTGTGTGTTTATGCCTATTATGGCAGGTAAGGATTCAAGATGACTCAGGCGAGTTTGAACCAAACACCAATTAGGTTCTTATCGGATTTTTGTTGGAAGGACTTAAGGATCAAAATGCATCAGCGGTGACTTGGGTAGCACCAAGGTTGGTGGGTTCAAAACAGGAACGGACGAAATCACACTGCAGTGATGCAGCTCTTAAGACGTATCAAGATTATCAAGATATACTGATTATACTGATATTGCCATCATTAATATATTCTTCCATTTATGGATATTTATCAACATCATTGCCCTTTTTAACAACATCATTGCCATCATAAAACATACGCATTTTTCATGGGAATTTTCCAGCAGCCACGGAGCGCCGTCAGGGCTGGCAATGGAACTGCTTCGACACAGCCATTGCGCTGGAATCTTGGGACCTAACTGATCGAGGCGACCATTGCGCCAGAGGTACTACGTTAGTACCATATGTTTGGCCATATGAACTATGGGGATATTCCCTTACAAATTTAATTTCCACAAATAAAACGTAGAGGATTAACAAAAACAACAAAAAATCAAAGACAATTGTCCAAAAAAACACTAGATAATCAAATGTGTTTGACAAGAACACGTATTTAAACAACGTAGATAGAATAGAAAAGAATCGAATAAATAGAATAGAAAAGAAAACACAAGAATAGATAGATAGATAGATAGATAGATAGATAGATAGATTAGATAGACAGATTATAGATTATAGATTATAGATTATAGATTAGATATAGATCATAGATTAGATATAGGTTATAGATTAGATATAGATTATAGATTAGATATAGACTAGATATAGATTAGATATAGGTTAGATATAGGTTAGATCGAGGTTAGATATAGATTAGATATAGGTTAGATATAGAATAGATATAGATTAGATATAGATTAGATATACATTAGATATAGATTAGATATAGATTAGATATAGGTTAGATATAGATTAGATATAGGTTAGATATAGGTTAGATATAGATTATAGATGAGATATAGATTAGGTATAGATTAGATATAGATTAGATAGAGATTAGATAGAGATTAGATAGAGATTAGATCGAGATTAGATAGAGATTAGATATAGGTTAGATATAGAGTTGCTATAGATTAGATATAGATTAGATTGAGATTAGATAGAGATTAGGTAGAGATTAGATCGAGGTTAGATAGAGATTAGACATAGATTAGATATAGATTAGATATAGATTTGATATAGATTAGATATAGATTTGATATAGATTAGATATAGATTAGATATAGATTTGATATAGATTAGATATAGATTAGATATAGATTAGATATAGATTAGATATAGGTTAGATATAGTTTAGATATAGATTAGATATAGATTAGATATAGATTAGGTATAGGCTAGATATAGATTAGATAGATCAGATAGATTAGATAGATTAGATAGGATAGGATACGATAGGATATGATTTGATTGGATTTGATTTGATTAGAGGATAGATAGATAAGAGAGAAAGAACGAAAGAACAAAACAAAGAAAAAAACAGAAACATAGATACATATAGGTAGATATAGGGGCGCTTTGGCGCCTTTCAGGTTCGACTCATCCTGCTTGGTTCATGCCATGGCTTCAGAAACAAGTTTGTACAATTTGATCTGCCGAGTCTTGCCATTACATTTGCGATGGCAAAGAGTGAAAGCTCCAGCAATCCCTGCTGCCTGCGTAGTTGCCACCATTACTGTTTCATGTGAATTTGGCAGTGCAATTGGCCTGCCTGTGTTTTGCCCCTCAGTTAGGCTGAGGCAGACTTGGTTTGAAGGCGATTCAGAGGGAGGAAATTTAAATATCATTGGCAGCTTCAGGGGCATGTTCATTGTAGAAAAACTGATGCTGGATGGCTAGATCTATTGGACATGTTAGCCCTGTAGTGTTGATAACATTTCAACATGGTTGTTGCAAGTCACATTTCTCGCGCCATGATCATGTTGAAAGATAATGCGCTGTGACAAGAAGAGTCAAACAAACAGATGTCTATGAGCATATTTGAAGACAGGTAGCTGGTTGGTGGTTTGGAACATTTTTTGTTTTTGCATATATTGGGAATAATCATCCCAACTGACCTCCATATTTTTCAGAGGGGTTGAAACCACCAACCAGGGTAGGTTTCAATGCTTCTCTGTTTCATATTGTTGAGGCCATTTGCAGGATGTTTCAGGATGTTTGCTCCCCAGGCCATTCTTCGAAATCCATTTGCATATCCTTCAAGATTCAATGCCCCTAAATTTCTTGAGAGAACAGGAAAGGGTAGTATATAATTATTGCTGATAGCTGTAGCTGATGATTACAACCATGCTCTCTCTGTATGGTTTGTTCAAAGTGAAGTATGAAAAGGATACAGAAGAGACATCCAAAAAAATGGAAGAACAACACAATTCTGATTCCCTAATTAGTAGCTCTGAAAATGAAATTGAGATGAATATCAATATACACAACTGCCGTATTTTTGGTCATCATCACCTCACAGATACCATTCGGCCAACACTTGGATCTCAATATTTGGCTGAGTAGTGTCTTTAAATACACTGTGTTCTATTTACTCAGACGTTCTTTTCAATGGGAGTTTCAGGATCCTAAAATGGAGGTACTGTACCATATTAAGGCCATATTTTCTGGGAATATTCCCTAAAAAATAGGCTTTATATATGGTAGGTACCTCCAATGAATGGGTTCCTGTTGCATGGCCATTGATCTTTTGATCGCTAACATTCCCAGTTTAGCCAACAGCTACGGCTATTTTGGAAAACCGACGGTAATTCCAAGATTTAGGGCAGCTCAAAGATTTTCATATATATACAATGTGGGGCCCCCCAGTTATAAGGTTTGTTTCTAAGCCCCAGTAACTATAGTTATAAGTACCATAAACCATAGTTATTGGAGTTATAAACCAACTTATCTAGGGGGCCCCACTTTATACATATATATATAATTTATTTATTTATTTGTTTATTTATTTATATATATACATATATATAAATGGCCATTTCGAAAGGGATTTCCCAGCAATGTTTGATGACATTAGAGGGTACAAGCGATTGGAATTGCCTTATCAGTTCCCATATAACAAGTCACATTTTATTCCCGGTATCCCATAATTTCATGGTGCAGTTCCATTTATTTTTGCGTGCCTGTGAAATTCCACATGTATATATATATATACCATTAATTAAATTCAAGGTTAAAATCCCAACTGATGGGTATAAATATATATACCATGTGGAATACTGTGGAATTTATATATATTATTATATAAATATGTACCATATATATACTGTATGGGATACTTTAATTAAATTCCACATGTATGTATATATCCCAACTGAAAGTTCAAATCCCATGGTACCCATCGAAGCTAGGAAGCCGTTCTGGGCCTCGTTGGACGTCTTGCGGGCGCCCAAATCTGGAATCTCGTCTGGTTGAAATCCGCTTGACGCGCCATTTTTCTTTGTGATCCAGAAATTTCCACACCTTTCCTATTGCATACCAATTGGACTATAAATGGTATGTACGGTATAAACCACATCTTAGTCTACCAATTGTCAAGATCCTTTCTTGGTTTATTGCATCAAATTGCGTCAGACCTGGATGCTTTTGGAAACGATGCTGTTTTCGAGGCAACTTCGAGTGCTAGGCCGGTGACCACTGGGAAGGGGAAACGCGCGTTTAGTTACTCTTGGCCAATCATTGGCTAGTACAGTAATGGTTAAATGATTAGCTATTATTATTTTATATATAATGATGGTTAAAGATCATGTTTTAAACATTGGTTAATCATGGTCATTTATCATTATATAATTGGTTTATCATGAATGAATATCATTGAATCATTTTGCTGCTTCACATGATGCCTACTATAGCCTCATGACCAATGGTTAGTTTAAGATGACCAATGACTAATGGTGAATGTGGTAAAATGGTATAAACCGTTTATAAAACTGCCATTTCGGGATGGGTTTTACCATACCTTTGCCAACCATTTAAGCGTCATTAATTGGGGATGGTTTGGATTTGCAATCGAGTTGTCCCATGATTTTGGGGTTCGCGGTTTGCACCCATGGCCCATGTGGTTTGGCAAAGTGCTTACAAAATACATTTTAGTAGCCAAATCTGATGACAAACATCGACTTAAAATGCAGATGTTAATCTTGAAGTCTTGAAGAACATGATATGATAATTGGGCGCAACATATTTTTCTCATCTCATGACGTCGACGGACATCATTTTGCCGGAAAATGATGAACTCCACTGGAGGTCATCTTCCCTAGTTGACCTCTTGTGGCAACAGACCAGAGCCTCATTTGCGCAACTATTATTGAATTAAACATATTTAGATGATATCTAGAGATATTTTTCATGATAGATAGTTTGAAATTGCCTAATTATGATTCGAATATATTTAGAGATAATTATTTCACTGATAGGGAATCGTACCGACGTAGCCTTTTTTTGAGATGCAGTGAAGAATAACCCCCATTCCCACTGGATGAACAATGTGTTTACCATCTGGTTATATATTTAACATTGCCATGGAAAATCCACCCATTTTATAGCGAACGGTAAACCATCTATTTCTATGGGCCATTGCTTAACCATGGCTATGTAACAGTCATAACCAGAGGGTAGTATTCAGCCTACCACTAGTGACCTGCTTGTTGGACTGGCAGGCATTTTCCGCTTGGCGCGTTTGGTCAGGGGCCCCCAATCCAGTGCTGAAGATCCGGGTGATGAACCTTCAACAAACCTGTAATGGGTAGTTGCCCTCCCCTAATATTGATGGTACTTGAATGGGATTTATAGTGATTTAATGGGATTTTATAGTGATTCAATGGGACATTAAATATTAATGGGATTTACCCTCTGTTAAACAAACAGTTTGCTATTGAAAATGGCCTAGTCGAAATAGTTGATTTACCCAGCTATAAAATGGTGATGTTCCATAGTTATGGAGCAGTTTACCAGAGGGTATCTGAAGGGTTTTTGAAATGGGGGATCCTCAAATACCATGGGTTTCAATACTCTATTTTTTTTCCATACTGCATATTGAAGCGTCATACGCTGCGGCAGGGCAAATTGAATCAATACTATAATATATATATTATATATATATATTCTGTTTTGATATGGGGATACTCCATTTAGGAAACCTCCACATGGTCAAATTTGTTCTGTGGTGCGAGAGTTTCGTGGTTTCAGAACGCATCCAAAGGAGGTAACTTGGTGTCTGACCATGAACCAGTGTCCCCATTGGAAAAGATATCTATGGACATGAGTGCAACAAAAAATAGCTCTTATCGTTGCATGCTGTAATTATGTACGTAATTGTTGTCTACTTGGTGCCCCCTGGCTGTTGGTTTCAGATTTTAGACATTTTTAGACGTCTTTCATCCCGAGCAGCCCAGTATGGGTTTGATCAAGACGTGTGACCATGTCCACATCCAAAGCTTCAACACGTTTGAAGCATCCCAGAAAGAAGCGAAACCTGCCCAAAAGCAGCAACTCAAACCATGCGGTTGTCTGAGATCATTGGTATAATTCTCAAAGTTTAGATCAATGAAGAGTGACTTGTCAGCATCTTCCACTGGGCCATCAAAACACCTTGAGGTGAAGCATATGAAGAAGGTCAAGGCTCGCCCACCAGAGCTGGCTTTGTATGCTTTGTAACATCTTGTGATGTGCTTACTAAAACTTATGCCACTTATGGTATGGGTCAAGACCCAACGCTGAACACACAAGCTCTGGCTGAACTTTAAGTGATCAATCATCTTTGATGGCGAACATTCGATTTGGCCATAACGTTTATCTCCAGAATACCCCCAATTGCCAATCTATTTGATTCTTCTTCGTGCATTTGCCAACTAACCCAGAACAATTGAAAATGTTCGAGACCCCTGATGTTGGAACGCCCCATTCCCATGGTTGCCTTCCCTGCAATTTTCACAGCACATTCTCGTTGCGAAAGTATGGAATCTTTGGGAACCCGGGTTCTGGGGGCTACAGGTGTTGCGAAAGCTACGAAAGACGCACTTCTGCTGCGTTCATGGAACCTGCTGAGAGGGTGATGGACCACTCACAATGAAAACCATTGGAATCTCTTCATCCAATTTTATGGAGCTGAAAACCACCAGCATCCCACCAACTGGAGCAATTTGGCAATGGTTCAACAACTCCTTGAGCGTTTCAATCTTAGGGACTATTTGGCTGATGGTCCACTCGTGCCCTTCGGGAGGTGTGGCTGACGGTCATTTAAGGTCTTCGTTTCTGCCCGGGATTTGCAGGAAATGTAGCACAGGAATGCAAACGAACTGTCCCAACAAGTTGTTCATTGCCTTCATGTGCCACCGAATAATATCGAATAATCCTCACTTTGTGATCAGCATGACTTCCTCCAATTCCTGAGTTACAGTTAGTTCAAATCATGCTTCATCCCATTTATAGCTGGTACATGGTTTCAGGATGTTTCAGGCACCAATTATGTTTGAAACAAAATCATGAGTGCTGTATATACCATGAACATCCATCATCATCCATCAACCATAGTTTTTTGACGTAAACTCACCTTGACACCTGAGGCTCCTAGCTTTGGTGGCCTCCCTGGTGGATCTCTTCTGGGCCTTCCTTGTGGCCCCGAGCCCCAAATGTTGGGAGGATGATCCCGGATTCCTGGTGGATCCATGTTTCTTGCCATTTCTGGGAGTGTCAACATGTTTCTTGCCATTGAATCCCATAGGATCCATGTATGGTATATATGCTAACATTTGGGGTATATTGATGGTAAATGTTACCATATATAGCATTGAATGGGAGTACCCTCTGGTAATTTGACTAACATAGCTATTGAAAATGACCATAGAAATAGTGGATTTTCCCATGAATAGCATGGTGATTTTCCAGTTCGCTATGTTAAATTACCAGAGGGTATCTTTTTGTGCCATTTTTATAGATTTTCGGTTTTCGAACAAAGTATATGCTATTTGATTGAGGGATGATCAGAGGTTTTTGGGCCCCCAAAAAAGGGTGGGACTGCGCAATGCGCAAGATGCACACCTTGGATCCTCACACATGTTAAAATCCCTTCCCCAAAAAATCAAACACCCCCCAAATAAAAGACCCTCAGAAAGCAGGATTTATAAAACCTTTATATAATATATTGTAATACGTAGGGGGAAGGAATTGCAGGCGTTTCCTACACGGTGTACCTAAATGCACTAACAGTCTAACAGCATTGATGGCTGCTCTTTCCTAAAAGCATTGAGGTTATTTGATGTTATTTGAAGATAAGACATCAAGTAGAGAACACCCACATAATTCCATGTGTATGTTGTTTCCCGCCTCGCCCCTTTCAAGTCGGGTGAGGTGGTTAGTGGAGAACTCTGACCCAGAATTTCAAGGACCAAGTGGTTGATATCCTACACGCCTAATGCAGGGCAGGGTCTATTTAACACAATAGTTGCCACCCAAAATCACCAAGTTGCGATCCTTTTTGTAGGTAGACATTCCACTGTGAAGATTGTCAAGCGTTTCGCTATGATACACCCATTGACTTTGTTTCGACAGAAACACATCGAATGTACCATTCTAGTTGGCATTCGTTGCCTCGTTCTCCGTGTTTTTGTTTTTCACCCCATTTTAATATTATATATATAATTATATATAGAATCATATGTATATATAATATATTGATATATATATATATATGTGTGTGTATATATATATTGATATATTTAAATCATACTTTTGGGTTTAATAGCCGGATTTCTTCTGTGTTTGGCCAGGTGGTTCTCTTTTTGTACGTCTATAGTATCTTTCTCTCCACTGCCACGGTCAGTGACTCAGAGTGAGCTTTGCCGGTCAATCATCATCAACCTTGGGTACCAATGCCCTCATTGCAGACTCCATAAATGGAACGCTGGGCAAATTACTACTAGAAGGGGATATATAATATGATATATATATGTGTGTGTGTACACGTATATACAACACGTCAGGTTCTTGGAATAACTACAAGATTACAGATTTGCCCGATTTTGAGAGCGGTTCTCCCCTGTAAAAACATTTTTTATCCATAGTTTTTGCTTGATGAGCTCATGTTTGCAAAGTTGCCTGATATGATTCTTGAATGAGTTGACCCGAAGTCACATGTGGAAGTCAGCTCTTCTTCCATGAATCATAGGGGAAGTTCTGGGAGGGGAAGTGGCCAAAAAAAACATGTCCCACCTCCAATGTGTCATGCTTTCGTCATTTGTTTTCTGACTTTTGTTTTCGTGTGGGTTTGTCATTTGTCATGTTTTTTTTTGTCAGTGTGTCGTTATTTTATGTTATGTTGTCATTTGCCATGTTTTTGGGTTGTTTTGTTGTCATTTTAGTGTGGCTTGCTTTCTTTTTGTTTACTGTTAGTTTGAGTTAATGTCTCAGTTTCATAGTGGCGTTGCTTTTCAAGTGCCATAGATGGCCCAAAGACCAGGACACAAAACACAAATCAACCACCGTCCGGCACAGGAACGCCATGGACGCCAGCAGAAGACATGCGTACGAAGTGCAGAGACAAAACATACTGCACAAACGTATATTTAGTTGCAGCCAAAGAAAACATATATCAAACAATCAACATTACATAACATAACAGTAAATGTGATAACATGACAAACCTGTGACAAAAGCACAAAAACTTAAGACGCCACTAATGTGGCTCCATCAAGGTGCCCTATAATCGTCATATGGCGCATGTGGCGGTTTGGGAGGTCAAGCTTGTTACAAACCGTTTGCGAGAAATATCAAGCACAGTATGTTTGAAACGTTTTGAAACTTACATGGCAAATATGAAGCACACGCACTGAAACAATCAAAACAATCAAATGAAACAAGAAAACTCAAGAAATCACGCATGAGAACAACCTGACAAAACAAAAGACAAATTCATGATAAAATCGTCACACACCCACATGACGAAAAAAACGACACATGACAAACCCAACCGGCAAACAAATGACAAACACGTCACCAAAACATCCTAGGCCACTCTTACATTCCCTTGTTAAACCGCCCAAGCTGGGCAACCATTTTGGGTTGGGTAGATTAGTTGGGTTTTTTCGAACAATGGCTGATTTTTTCCAGCAAAGAAACACTTTGGATTGTTTTGCAAGCCCTCCACGATAATGACATTTTCCCCAACTACCCCCTTAAATATCCATTTTAACCTCTATGTTTTCTCAATACCCCCGTTTTGTTGGGTCATATCTGTACTGGTTGGTGGTTTCAAACATTTTTTAGTTTCCATATATTGGGACTAATCACTATGAGTCATTATTCACCATTAATCACTATTAACCACCACTAACTAACCACTATCTGTATCATATCTGCAGGTGCACTATTTCGATAACTTGAACCGTACCGGTGCCACTGTTTTGGCGGGTGCCTTGGGCTGGGGGATGGATGGATGGATAGATAGATAGATATGCGTTATATATGTATATGTATATTTATTTATGTATACATGGTTCTTTGATTGTGCATGTAAGCTATTTTTACGCGCATATGTATATAATTATATATATATATATATATATGTGCGTGTATCTACCCATTAGCATATATTTATATAAATATTGTGTGACATGTTGCCTTTTCATTTGCCGTTACATATGTGTCAGTATATGTTTGTCATTTCTGATTCACTTTAAACAAACAACATCCATTGACATGTTGTATAGTTAAAATTATCATATGGCAAGTTCGTTTTTTACCATTCTTGATTCTGAGGAAACCGGACCTAGCTTACCCACCTAGCTTTGGACCAAGTTTCACCCAGGTAATGAGGCCTGTAATTCCCATCCTTTGGATGTTGCGCTGCAGGCGATGAACTTGTAGAAGTGCAGAAAGCGCCTGGCTTCAACCCGGGTAGCCACCATTTGGTGGCGATGGGGTGTTGCAACTGAGGCAACGGCAGAACAGCTCCTATTGCTGTTACTTATATAATGCCTTGAAAAAAGGAGGACTTTTCACCCTGATGCTTTTCCTGTGTCAGTTGGCTTCGCACATAGTTTAGCCCATGATGTGTGGCTTCGGCCAGGGGCGTGGCGAACTTTCCCCGCCATTGAGGTCCAGGATTATTATGGCTCGATCATTTCAACCATGTTGTCCCTGTGGTCTGCCATCAGTGGTGGAAACGAGCCTTGGTCCACTTGGTGCTGGGTGTTCATTAGTATGCCCTCCACAATGATATGGATGGAGGTCACTTGAAGGCTCGGGTTCTGCTGGTTGGGGGGAATGATTGGAGATTTCCAGACCACTGATCCCAGAGCTGTGCGTGTCGCTGTGCGTATGCTGTGCGTGTCCAACTTTTCAGGTGTCTTTCCGGTGGCCATTTGATCAAATTCCAAGGGTGTCCCAAAAAATACCTGGCTTGCTGGGAGGATATTTTTGGGCATGGTCATCATGAGCTCAACTGTAACATACTGCGACTGGCCTAGGTCACCATGTTTACTGAGCATTAATTTGCAATACAGTTTGATAAGTGGTGGAGTGACTACGGTACGACATCCTGCTACCGGTTCACGCCACATACCCTAAAGGTAATACCTGCTGGATTTCTCAACAGAAATCGCTGCATTCTTGGAGGGTTTCCTCATGCAAACCCAAGAAATAGATGACCATACGGTATTTGTAAACCCCAAAAAGATACCACAGTAAAATCCTACGAAATTAATTATACAATAAAAACCTGGTTGGTAGTTTGGAACAGGTTTTATTTTCCCATATTTTGGGAATGTCACCATCCCAACTGACCAACTCATAGTTTTCAGAGGGGTAGGTCAACCACCAACCAGAAACTGTTCTATGAGAGGCTACAAAAAACCCAAGTTTTGCTCAGGATTGGATGGAATATGCCGAGACCCTCCGCACTATGGCCTCTTGCCTCGGGAGTTTCTTCCATCGGGAGTCGCACTAATGGTGGTCTGGCTGGTGGTTTGGAACATGAACTTTTATGACTTTCCATATAATATATTGGGAATAATCATCCCAACTGACTTTCATATTTTTCAGAGGGATTGAAACCACCAACCAGCGGTTGTTGAAGTTGTTTCCACATATTGGATGATCCTGATATGAAATCTTATGCATCTATAAATAGCGCTTGTTAACCATGTGCAGCCACATAATCTAGAAAGATCGCGCAACATCTGGGAATCTTTTCTAGCATCAATGCACCAGGTGATGTCTAAATTGGTGAAGATGGGGGATAGCTATAGTTCATGGGGAATATGCATAAGATTGTACAACCAATATATATATAATATAAGTTAGTTAATTTCGGTTCACAAACCAACTTATAACTGGGGGGCCTCACCTAGTATTCTCATGTATTTTCCATTTGCAGGTTTGTTTCCCGGAGGCTGTTCAGCTTGGTATTCAAAGTTGGCTGGACCCTGTCAGTAGATGAGAGATCAGAGGAAAGGGAGGAGGTGGTTGCTTTGAAGGTTAAGGGTGCCCTTGGTGCAGTTCCATTTATAAGATCTTATAAGGGGATATATTTCACCATAGTTGCAGGGGTTATATTCCAACTTTTGAAGGTTATTACCGCGGTTATAACCATTAATAAGCCCACGTGTTATTCCAGTTACAAGTTTCGGTTTCAGTTCCTCATCCGTTTTGATTGGCCCCAGATGGTGACACTGTGGGTTTTACGTTGTTTATCCGATTTTATCCGTAAATTTAGGCAGCAATCGTGCTATGGTTTTAAACCATGGGCTTACTCCGAACTACCCACTTACCAACAGCCTAGCTAGCTTTGCTTAGATGGGCGATGCAATTAGTTATTTGGTCAGTACCCCCCTAACATTAATGGGTATTCTTCATGGTTTACACCGTTATAGCCCCACATTCTAACATCAGCTAACATCAGCTAAGATCAACCAACACCAGCTAACATAAGCCCGAGTGGACCATTTTTGCCCCAGGGGGGCACCTTCTACTTCGCCTCTTTCATCGCGTTCATTGCCTTCTGCACCATCGGGCTGTTCAATGTTGTCACGGGTGCCTCAACGAAACAAACGATGGACCGAACTCCGAGGTCTTTGTGTCTTACCCGTAGGATCCATGTATGGTATATATGCTAGCATTTGGGGTATATTGATGGCAAATGTTACCATATATAGCATACATGGATCCTATGGGTTATGATATGCTGTGATATTAGATGTCATGATGGTTAGGATTGGTTTCGATTCGTTTGGATAATGGTTAGGATTTGGGGAATTTCTAGAACTATAACCATTTGGTTATTTAACATAGCCATGGAAAATCACCATTTATAATAGGTAAACCATCTATAAACGGGCCATTTTCCATGGCTATGTTAAATAACCAGAGGGTATCTACAGCCATACATGGCTTCTAACTCCTGTTACGGCTTTGTGAATTTTGGTGCCCTTCGCCTGGATGATCCGTCAACATATGATACACATGTCATGCTTAAAGTATAATCTGATTAAGGCCAACAATTTTTCAGCTAAATATGCTAAATCAGTAGCCTGAAAGTCAAATGACTCAGTGTACCGAGGTTTTATCATGTTTTATCCATAACTTCACCGAGGATTGGCGAATCTATCCAAATCCCACTCTGATTGGTGGTTTCACCAGTTTTGTCATGTGCTAAACGCAGTTTTTGTTTGTGTTTCAAATGGGATGATTATGGAAAAACATGGGGTAGCTATACAGTTTTTATCTGGTTGGTAGTTTGGAACATTTTTATTTTTCCATATATTGGGAATGTCATCATCCCAACTGACGAACTCATCTTTTTCAGAGGGGTTGAGCCCACCAACCAGCACTATATTTGTTCTTTCTGTATCATGATAAGATAAGATGATAAGTTCGGAATTTCATACGAGGTGAGCCCCGCAGTTAGAAGTTGATTTATAATCTCCATTGATCATTGACCATAGTTTATATCTCCCAAAAGCCATAGAATACACATGAATTCACCAACTCATAAGCCAACTTAGCTATTACAATCTATTATAACTCAGACTCAGCTTAATCACTCCCATTAATATATATATATTACATATATATATATTATATTGAAATATATTATTAAGCACCTATTTTTAAATCAACAGTTCCCCATGGTTTTCGTTCGGCACCCAGGTATCTTCGTGGATAGCGCCGTGGAGGCTGCGGCCATGTTCCGCAGCGATGCCGAGATGATCGCGCAACCAGCCCAAAGATCTGTGGTTTTGGACACAAATATTACATCCATGAAATTTCCACGAGCTCCTGGGATTTTGTGATTTTTAGGGAATATTGATGAACATTGGATATTGCATGTTGGATAAAGTTCCGACATTTGGGATATAGGGAACTAAAATCAAGTTATAGCTGATACCCTCTGGTTATTTAACATAGCCATGGAAAATCACAATGTTTAATAGGTAAACCATCTATAAATGACTATCAGTGTATATCAGTGTCTATCCATTTCAATTAACTATCATGGTTTACCCTCTGGTTATTTAACATAGCCATGGAAAATTGCCCATAGAAATAGATGATTTTCCCAGCTATAAACATCCATTTATAAGGGATTTTCCATGGCTATGTTAAATAACCAGATGGTACATCCATCAAATTTCACGAGCTCCTGGGATTTTGTGATTTTTAGGGAATATTGATGAATATTGGATATTTTATAATTACATCCGATAATATCCAATATATAGGTTGGTTCCAACTATCATCGAAGATATGGAAGTTGGTTCCAATTGTAGATATGTAGAAAAACATGTTGGTGATGCACCATCTTACATCCACTTCCGCAGCAACAAATGTTCATGACTGGTGAATGGGTTTGGATGGTCAATCGTATCGGCAATAGTCTATGCCTGGCTCAGAATCGCCGAAATTGCCTGGCTCAGAAATTTGAGATGACTTCAAAACATGCTACCCTCAGGTAAATTAACATAAACCCTGCCATTCATCGGGCTTGGAAGATGAGTTTCCACTAAACATGGGTTATTTTCAGGGTCCAACTGTTAATATACCAGAGGGTAAAAACCACCAAACACGTCCCACTCTTCCCTACAGATGGCTGGTGGGACTGGACCTGGGACGCTGAGGGATCATCAAGAGCAGAAAGCCTCGGAAGATGAAGAACTCAATGAGCTGGTGATGCTTGGACCGATTCTACAAGTGACGGCACACATGGTATCAAGGTGATGCCCCCATAGCCGATGGCTAATTTTTGGTTGTGAAATAACTTGCACAACTGGGGTTTATGGGGGGGAGACTATATTCACCCCGCTTCGCGTGGGGTGGCCGCCCACACCGCAGGTTTATTTCGGTCCGTGAGAGGGGCTAAGGGTGGTTTCCCCCGTGGGGACTCCCCAAGCTAAGAATTTTCACTTCCCCCCCCGTGGGGGCTCCCCAAGCTAGGGAATTTTCACTTTTCCCCCCCGTGGGGGCTCCCCAAGCTAGGGAATTTTCACTTTTCCCCCCCGTGGGGGCTCCCCAAGCTAGGGAATTTTCACTTTTCCCCCCCGTGGGGGCTCCCCAAGCTAGGGAATTTTCACTTTTCCCCCCCGTGGGGGCTCCCCAAGCTAGGGAATTTTCACTTTTCCCCACCCGTGGGGGCTCCCAAGCTAGGGAATTTTCACTTTTCCCCCCCGTGGGGGCCCCCCCAAGCTAGGGAATTTTCCTTCCTTCCTAGGCAATTTTCACTTTTCCCCGCCGTGACAGCTTCCCAAGCTATGGAATTTTCACTTTTCCCTCCCTTGGAGGCTCTCCAAGCTGCGGAATTTCAAATAGCTAGACAACGACGCCTAGATAGTCCCCCAAATCCCGTGTTCTTTGAATGTGTTTCCATGTTTTTGCAATGGTTTCCTTCAAAGCACGGTACTTTACACTTTTGTCGCCATAAAACCGGTCGAAAACATCATGTTCGACAATGCTTCCAATTCCCTTATCTCCCCAACCGTTGAAAATACCGCTATTTACAGTGTTTTCTTCAATTTTTCCATGTTCCAATGCCGGTAGCCAACTCCAACATATATATAAGAAATCCTTCCAAAACATTGTTTTTGACAGTGTTTTTCCAATGTTTCCAGTCAAACAGACGGTAATTTACACGTTTTTTGCCATAAAGGCAGTAAATCCTTCCAAAACATTGCTTTTGACAGTGTTTTTTGTAATGTTTCCAGTTAAGCATACGGTAATTTACACGTTTTTTGCTATAACGTCAGTCCAAAACACTTGTTTTTGCAGTGTTTTCAATGCTCTGGCATCCAAAAACCCTGCAAAATCTTGCTATGTACAATGTTTTTTTTCATTTTTGGCCGTTTTTCCATTGCCGGAAAGCTACCAAAATGACCCAAAATTCCATTTCAATACCCTCTTGCGCTCAGACACCCAAAAATCCTCGAAAAATGTCGAAAACACCACCGTATTCTGGTCTCGGTGCGAAACCGTTTTTGGGGCCCCCCCCCAGCTAAAGCTGATATAGCGACTGCTATATTAACAAATGTCATTGAGCATTTAGTGTTGCTGTTTTGCCCCCCAATAAGCACGCCTTCACCGCCAAAGCGGTGTGGGCGGACTTAATTAATGGGTCTATTAAACACAAGAGCTTATAACTGAGGGGGCCTCACTTTGTAGTTACCAGGCGTGTTTAAGGGGAATTCAACCAACAAATACTGGGATTCAACATAATTCAATCAACATTTGTATATTTCTATTGTGTAGAACTTCCGGGAACCAAAAGAGGCCCACCACGTCCTGCAAATGATATTTTGAAATCAATGATCAATGTGCGCTATGTCGGTAAATGTGTGTCAGTGCCCATGATTTATTATGGTTTATCCAGACTCCAGATTATGCAAATCGCCCTGTCAGGAAATGGTAATTTTTCAGTATTGCGCAAGGGCCACAATAGGGTATATTTCAATCTCCAGCTCATTCGAGTCTTCCTGGACTTGTGCAAATGGCTGCATGGTCAGCGTGCAAGGCAGAACACAATCTAACAAAAAGTGTTTTTCATTAGGTTACACTAACAAAAATTCATACTATAGTGTACCCGTCTTGCCAACCAGTTGTAAACAAATACAAGGGCAACATGCCCGTTTTGGACACTGCCACATAGTCATCTTGCAAGGTAGCTATGGCATCTATAGGCGGCCTCCTGCCACCCTATGCCATAGTAACCACCCCAAATCATCACCACTTAAAAAAAGGTAGGATGATTCCAACCATCCCAAATGATAGGTTTATTGTTGGGTTGCCAACATTCTCAAACTCCCTACTTCTTGTTGTATTCATGCTTGACCCAGGCCCATGACCGTTTACATGTGAGTGATCGGGGTCTAGCGAGTCTAGCGGCCACCCATTTTCAGCTGTTGCCGGTTGCCAAACAGAACACTCAATTGTGGATGGTTCATAGCATTAGGTTTACCTCATTGTATCATCAGAATCGTAGTTGTCCATATAACATACCCATACATATCCCCATTGGCTTCATTTAGCAGTCCCGCATTGCGCCCTGCCATCTCTCCGCTTGGCCTAGGGGCCTTCTGGGCAAGGATGCGGGAAAATATGTGACATCCGAAGAGCCCCTTGGATCAGCAGTAGGAGCATAGGCCCGAAAATCCTCGAAGTTGTCAAATGCAGGGAGATTTGGTTCGATCAAATGGGGATAAAGGGTTGGTTCACCAAGAGATATGATGAGATATGCGAGATAAAATTGGTTTGGTTAACACTTGGACCCCTGCAGGGTTTACAGTATGGTTCATGGTTCAATAACATGGACTTGGGGTTGCAGGACAATTACGATTGCTTCACCTTTCTTGTCGGAGAGATCAAGGGGAGAGTTTTAGGGACTGGTTTCAGACATCTGCGGAGAGAATCTGATGATGTTTGTTTGAAATCATTGGGATCTCCCTGGTTGTTGGTTCTATTTTCTGATATTCCCATGATATTCCCATGATATTCCTCATATCCATCCAGACTCCCATGTTCTTTTCAGCCTCTTCGAGGCTTGACGAGCACCTGAAGGGCCCCACTGCACAGGTGAGCTAAATGGCGAGCCGGTATAGACCATCATAGGTGGCAAATATAGATCGTTTTACATGGAAAATGCATGAGAGATCTATATTCAATATATATATATATAGATAAGCATATATTACTGTAGTATATAGATGATATATAGATTATATATAGATGATATATATATATTCATATATAAAAAACATTAAAAAAACAGCCTTAAGTTTATTCCATTATTGTCTTGATCTGCAATTCTGATGGAGTACAGCTCTGGAAGTCCACTGCGCAGCGCCAGGCATTTTGGCACACGAAGATGCAGCTGAACCCTCATCAGGCCAGCTTTTAGCAGCACGACCCCTGTTGATCATAGAAATTTAAGGTCAGTTTCAAGTGGGGAAAACCAATAGTCTTATATAGTTTTAACATGCCCCATCATGAAAAAATCAGACATCTTTTTTTTGGGGGTATATCAGTTGAAATTTGTTGAAATTGCAGACCCAGGGGCCATATAATTTGATTTTGGATGATTTTGGTTTGTTTGTAGTATAGATTAAACTATTGCATTTGTGGGTGCCCAATTTTGGAACATTCCTATGTCAGTCAAAATGCTAGTAAATGCTTAGACTAGACATGTCAATGAAGACGTAAGACAAGTACCAATATAATGTGGTTAAAACAATAGTAACCCCCTCCATTTTTGATGGTTTATACCAGCCATTTATGCTGAATTTGGGAATGGTTTATTATTGTTTTAACCACATTACAGGCTGTACATGTCAATTTTTGTATGTCGGAACCACGTCAAAGCTCTTCTGGGGTTTTTCGGGGCGCGTTGGGCTCGCTCAGAGTGGGAAAGTGGCAGCTACACAAACTGCAGCATGAAATAGTTCTCATCATTTCACAAGGTACTGGGGAGTGCAGTGAGGGTTAATGATGATATATGATGATAAATGGTGTTATATAATATATATATAACCACAAACGTTGGGGGTTTATCCCAACTTCTGGTGCTTTTGTTTCCATCCATATAGCCCCAAGTAAAATGGCTTCCATCATCCTCTATCCACGTTTTTGCGCACCATGTCATTGACACCGCCAGGTAAAGGATATGCACATTTTGTACTCGCGGTTGAAGCCCAAGACGACAGGAAAGGAAGGCGTCAGAGTGGAAGACTTCCTTCACTTCACCAGGACGGAGTCGTCGTCGTGGAACTTTGACAAAAAGTGGAACGGAGTTCTTTTGAAGATCTTCCAAGTTATCAGGTTGAAGGGTATCTGGCAATTCGCATTGCACATAGTACAATATATAAATGTATTTGAATTAATATCTACATACATGTTGAGATAGATGTATTTATACATTTAGATATATGCGCAATTTATTGAAAATCTGCGGGTCTAGCCTCCTTGTTTATATTTATATATATATATATATACATGTGTGTATCTATACATAACCAACAACGTGATTGGTTTTGTCTCAAAATGGCAGACACCCGAATTCATGGCAATTTTCATGCGTCAGTGATCAGTCAAACCTCATGGGATTGTTGGGTTTCATATGTTTCGAGATGATTTTTCATGCAGTACAGGATGCCCCCCCCCAGTTATAAGTTGGTTTATAACCCATCTAAATATAGTTATAAGTATCATACACTATTGTTGTTATAGTTATAAACCAACTTATTACTACTATAGGGCCCCATCCTGTCTAATTATAGTCCAAGCAAAAACAAATCCAATTGCCAGGAGATGTAAGGGTCAAGCCTCGTACGTTGACCTACTGACGCTGATGCATGACCAGACCAGGTCCCGTGGTAACGGGACCAGCCTGATGGAACGGAACGTTCACCAGTTTTGTCATGCGCTACCCTCCAGTAAATTAACATAGACACTGAAAATCACCCATCTTTAATGGAAACTAGTCTTCCAACCCCTATCTGCCAGGGTAAACGCAGTTTTTGTTTGTGTTTCAAATGGGATGATTATGGAAAAACATGGGGTAGCTATACAGTTTTTATCTGGTTGGTGGTTTGGAACACTGTTTTATTGTTCCATATATTGGGAAGATTATCATCCCAACTGACGAACTCATATTTTCCAGAGGGGTAGGTCAACCACCAAGTAGTTATATAACTTTGATATAAATATAAATTTGAATATACATATAAATATATAGATATATATATATATATAATATATAAATTCCACTTTAGCTGTTTGTGAAATTAGGGATGCCCCTAGCAATGGGATGATGATGGATGATGGAAAATGCCCCCTAGTCATGGTTGGTTTAAGGGTGCTCCTCGCTGACACGTAGGTCGCAACCATGAATCAATAGCAGTTCAATGGGAATTTCAGGATCCCATTCATTGGAGGTACCGATTCCATATATTTTTGGCCTATTATATAAGGCCTAAATTTCAGGGAATATCCCCACAATGCATATGGCCTATATTAAATGGTACTAACGTACCTCCATTTTAGGATCATGGAGATCTCCCATTGACCAGTGGAGAGATTTGGAAAAAATGACCGGGCGGATCCACACATTCGAGACGGAGGCGTCTCTGGGCCCACGACGTTGGCTCATATTATGCCTCATATTTTAAGACTTCGGTTAGAGTTGACATGTTTTGGTTTTTCTGAATTCCCATTCCTGATGGTGACATATACACAATGATGTACAATGATGTACTGATTGTATGAACAAATGTCGCGACTCACTGAGCAAACAACAGGCTTGGAAAGTTCATCCACAGGGAGTTCGAGGACTTGACTTTGTTTGGCCAAGGGAATGGCGGGAATGTCGGGTGGAGGAGGAGGAGCTTAAGTGACAATGGTGAAATTTAAGTGACCTGGAAGTTGCACGCCTGTGAAAATCACCATCTTCAATAGGGAAATCATCTACATCTGGGGCCGTTGTACGAAGCTATTTTGAATTATCCGTCGGTGTAACCAGCAAAACTGGGGGGATTCAACCAGCAAGACGTAGGATTTTTCATGGATTCCAGGATTGGGGCTAGCTTGCCAAAGAGTAAGCAATAAGTTGGAGCTACTGTGGATCACCGTTCCGTGCAACAGCAAGCGGGCCCAGAAGAGGTATGGAGATCCATCAGTACTGTTGAAGAACATTTCATGTTGGGATGTTAAGCTGGTTGAATTGACATCGCTATGTGTCTAAACGCCCCTAAATTGGGCAAACCACCCTTCCAATCTCTTCCAGAATCAGCACTATTCTGTTCATTTTTCTCGGATATTCGCGCAAGAGATCTGTACATACCAATTTTGTCGAATCCCTTCAATTCCCATATGCTTTCATGGTGGCTGGAAGATCTACCTACATTTACACCCAAAATGAACCAAATGTGGCGAAATATTCCATACATGGAGCATTGGGGATCGGGATGTGGGGCGCAGGAGATGAAGAAACTGCACCAGGCAGATGCGAGTGGGGGACTACCAACGCTTCGTGGTGTCACATATATATATATATATATGTATGTATGTAAACAATAAGAATAGGAATAAGACTAACAACAATAATATTAACAAAGATATATTTTTAAAAAATGCACATGCAGGCATACATGTTTACATATGCATACATGTTCGCATATGCATACATACATATTAATCTATACATATATGTGTGTGTGTTTTATTCACATATATATGTATGTAAACAAGTAGGTACAGAATGGGATGATGATCCCCAATTGGCTCCCTTTTTGACATGTTGAAACCACCACTCAAGCCTGTTTTTGAGCAAACCATTCTCAGTTGTGGTTGGTTTTATGCGCCAATTCGCAATCAACCAACTGGTGGTCGACTACCATCCAGTACGCTAACGTAGCTATGGTAAATTGCTCATTTATATAGATTAAACATTGTTTTTTTCCATATAGCTATATTAATTTAGAAAAGGGTACGCTCCAATCGAAACATGCCTGGCTTGGTTTATGTGCTCCACTTGATTCTTTCAGTAGGGTAGTAGCTGGAGATTTTTTTTGTGTCATTTCCTATGGTGGGAAAGCCAAGCCAACAAAATGTCACGATGTTTTTCAGTAAACCCATGCAACACCAACCCCGGAAAAAAAGAATGCGCAAAACCTGTAAAAACAATGGTTTGCTGCAAATTGTCCTTAATGAACCAAAGCATCGATAGGATTATCCTCCAACCATGGACTGGTGACCAAACCTTAGTGGCTTCCACATGATTCCACCAATCCCCCAGTGGCTTTGCATATGCACCATCTTTGCCAAGTTCTGCGGCTGGAATCAGTGGATCACCTACAAAATGAGCAACGGGATTCTCCACCATAGAAGGATCTGGAAGGATCAAAATCTGCGAGTTGGCCTTTTTTTGTCCAATGGATTGCATATCTAGGAATCTAGGCATGTGTATCAAGCTGATTTTCTAAAAAACATATTGATTAAGCTTGGGCACCTAAGATGGAACATGTCCCTTGGCATATCCATCCAAAAATGATTCCATCAATCGAATTCCATTAGCAAAATGCAAGTTATCCAATTTCATTGAAAATTGCGGATGGCTTATTCAATATTATTACTGGCGTCGGATTTACCGCACTATTACTTTTTTCGTCAATGTGCCCAAACATCTCACAATGGGGAGCAGCTCCCCAGAGAGTTTCAGTACACTTAGATACCCTCCGGTCATCAAACATGGCTTGCTGGAAAATCCATCATAGATCTTTCCCAGCTATAATCCTCCATTATGATTAAACGGGAATTCATGATTCATATTCTGGTTGGTGGTTTCAAAGATTTTTTATTTTCCATAATATATGGGAATTTCATCATCCCAACTGTTACTCACTCCATCATTTTTCAGAGGGGTAGGGCCCAACCACCAACCAGATATTTTTGGATAACCATCAATAACCATTAACCATCAATAACCATTAATAACGATTAACCATTAGATAAGCATAGGTCCCATAGTATGAATATAGATCCGATGGTCCTTCAACCGCCGGAGGATCTGAGATCGGGAATCGCCCTGGCGATTCCTCCCATGCCACCCCCCACGGCGCCACCACCCGCGCCGCCGTAGCACCTCGGGCAGAAACGTCCGGCGAATGCAGTTGAACCAAGCCCTAAATCACTCAATCACCAGAAAAATGGATAGTATAAACCATCAAAAAAACCATCAAAATATGGGTCGTTGATACTATAAACCATCAAATTAAAGGACCGGATAACCCCACATGTTACCAACTTCTTTAGACTTAGACTGACCATAGAAGAGCAAGAAGGGAAGAGGAAGTATAAGAGTGATGGAGCGGTGATGGTGGGTGAGTTTGTGTGTATGTATGTATGTTCATGTACAGTGAGTGAGTGAGAGTGTGAGTGAGTGATGCGAGTGTGGTGTGTGTGAGTGAGGGATGTGAGAGTGAGTGAAGTGAGTGAAGTGAAGTGAAGTGAAGTGAAGTGAAGTGAAGTGAGTGGGTGAGTGAGTGAGTGCGGTAGGTGAGGTAGGTGAGGTAGGTGGTGAGGTAGGTGAGGTAGGTGAGGTAGGTCAGGTAGGTCAGGTAGGTCAGGTAGGTCAGGTAGGTGAGGTAGGTGAGGTAGGTGAGGTAGGTGAGTGAGTGAGTGAGTGAATGTGAGTGAATGTGAGTGAGTGTGAGTGAGTGTGAGTGAGTGTGAGTGAATGTGAGTGAGTGTGAGTGAGTGTGAAGCCTCCCATTAACGTCCCCACCACCGGCCAACGTGGTGTCGGCTCGACCTAAGCCGAACCGTTTGGTAAGGACGAAGGCATCGACCTCAGTGAAGAAACAGACTTAGACGGAGCACAGAAAGCGAGAAGGGAAGAGGAAGGATAAGAGTGATGGAGGGACGATGGTGGTATGTATGTAGGTAGGTAGGTAGGTAGGTAGGTAGGTAGGTATGTATGTATTTAGGTATCTATGTATGTATGTACGTAGGGTAAGTTGTTTGTGAGTAAGTTGCTTCGCTTTCATCGAGTTCCACCAGGCTCTGATGTTTTTTTTCCGACACACTATCAAAACGATGGTGTGCTCACCATACTTCCGCTGACCAAAGTAATGTTCTGCACTCTTTCGAGCGAAGCCGCACATTTTGTGATCTCTTTCTGCATGCCCTGTGGCTGGTAAACATCGCTGGCACATGATGATGATGATGATGATGGTGATGATGATGATGATGAAGATGATGTATGTGAGTGAGTGAGGGAGTGAGTGAGTGAAGTGAAGTGAAGTGAAGTGAAGTGAACTGAACTGAAGTGAAGTGAAGTGAAGTGAGTGAGTGAGCGGGTGAGGGAGGGAGGGAGGGAGTGAGGGAGTGAGGGAGTGAGTGAGTGTGTGTGTGTGGGTGAGTGGGTGAGTGGGTGAGTGGGTGAGTGGGTGAGTGGGTGAGTGGGTGAGTGGGTGAGTGGGTGAGTGGGTGAGTGAGTGAGTGAGTGAGAGTGAGTGAGTGAGTGAGTGAGAGTGAGTGAGTGAGTGAGTGAGGGTTGTATGTTATGCATTGTGTGTTGTGTTTTGTGGGTTGTGTGTTGTTGTGTGTTGTGTGTTATGTGTTGTGGGAAAGGCGCGGTGTGTCGTTGGGAAGGAAGGTTGTCGTTGATGTGCACGGCCTCCCATTAACGTCTCCACCACCGGCCAACGTGGTGTCGGCTCGACCGAAGCCGAACCGTTTGGTAAGGACGAAGGCATCAACCTCAGTGAAGAAACAGGACTGAAGATGAACCTGTTCTTTTCCTTCCATCGGAAATGCCCGGAACTGAACCTACCGGAATCAGAAAGCATCTTCAATAGTGATTTAAATGACCTACAGACCTCACGGTGACCCCGGCTTCCAAGTCCGTTGAAAGCAAAATTCTAAAAAAAAACTCATCATCAAAACTCCCGGAACTGGAGCTGCAGCCCAGAGGCAAGAGCCTGCCTTGGAGTAGTTGCTCACGGAGGTGCTGAGTCAGGCGACGAACCGACCTGCCCCCCGCCAAGGTGGGGGAACCATCCTAGCCGCTGAACATGCCACCTGAAGGCCAAAAATGCACATCTAAAAAAACATACCAGGGAGACCTCCGCTATCTATCATGTATGTCAAACATGCCAGGGCGACGGCAAAGCAGAAACTGAATGGAGTGAAACAAGTATGTCTAACCTGCCAGGCCGACGTGAACCTGCAGCCTGCAGGCCAAAAATGCCAGGTAAAACACGGCAGGGAGACGAATGGCGTAAGCCATGTATATCAAACATGCCAGGCCGACGTCTATCTATCTATCTATCTATCTATCTATCAGACCTGTCTATCTATCTATCTGTCTATCTGTCCATACATCAGAATATCTATCTATCTACCAATCAATCTATCTATCTATCCCTCGATCGATCTCTTTAGCCCTCTATCCATCAATCCATCCATCCATCCATCCTGCGTGAGTGAGTGAGTGAGTGAGTGAGTGAGGGAGTGAGTGGGTGAGTGAGTGAATGAGTGAGTGAGTGAGTGAGTCAGTGAGTGAGTCAGTGAGTGAGTGAGTGAATGAGTGAGTGAGTGAGTGAGTGAGTGGGTGAGTGAGTGAGTGAGTGAGCGAGTGAGTGAGTGCGTCAGTGAGGGCGTCAGTGACAGTGAGTCCAGTCACCCAGTCAGTTTGGCGTACATCCAACCCCTTTGGCCGATTGTCCCACGCCTGCCACGCAAAAGAGGGAGACGGGAGACCCAGGGACATTGTCCCACGCCTGCCACGCAAAAGAGGCGGAGACCCAGGGACGCCAGCGGAACCCCGGGGCGTACATCCGACCCCTTGGCAGTGCACATTGTCCCACGCCTGCCACGCAAAAGAGGCGGAGAGAGTCAGTGAGTCAGTGAGTCAGTCACTCAGTCAGTCAGTGAGTGAGTGAGTCAGTGAGTCAGCCCTTTGGCCGATTGTCCCACGCCTGCCACGCAAAAGAGGCGGAGACCCAGGGACGCCAGCGGAACCCCGGGGCGTACATCCGACCCCTTGACAGTGCACATTGTCCCACGCCTGCCACGCAAAAGGGCGGAGACCCAGGGACGCCAGCGGAACCCCGGGGCGTACATCCGACCCCTTGACAGTGCACATTGTCCCACGCCTGCCACGCAAAAGAGGCGGAGACCCAGGGACGCCAGCGGAGACCCAGGGACGCCAGCGGAACCCCGGAGCGTACATCCGACCCCTTGGCAGTGCACATTGTCCCACGCCTGCCACGCAAAAGAGGCGGAGAGCCAGGGACGCCAGCGGAACCCCGGGGCGTACATCCGACCACTTGACAGTGCACATTGTCCCATGCCTGCCACGCAAAAGAGGCGGAGACCCAGGGACGCCAGCGGAACCCCGGGGCGTACATCCGACCCCTTCGCAGTGCACACGGTCCCACGCCTGCCACGCAAAAGAGGCGGAGACCCAGGGACGCCAGCGGAACCCCGGGGCGTACATCCGACCCCTTGACAGTGCAGATTGTCCCACGCCGGCCACGCAAAAGAGGCGGAGACCCAGGGACGCCAGCGGAACCCCGGGGCGTACATCCGACCCCTTGACAGTGCAGATTGTCCCACGCCGGCCACGCAAAAGAGGCGGAGACCCAGGGACGCCAGCGGAACCCCGGGGCGTACATCCGACCCCTTGACAATGCACATTGTCCCACGCCTGCCACGCAAAAGCGGCGGAGACCCAGGGACGCCAGCGGAACCCCGAAGCGTACGTGAGTGTGAGTGAGTGAGTGTGTGTGTGTGAGTGAGGAGGTGTGTGTGTGAGTGAGTGAGTGTGAGTGAGTGAGTGAGAGTGAGTGAGTGTGAGTGAGGAGGGGGGACGGGAAGGAGGAGGAGGAGGAGGAGGAGGACGAGGAGCGGATACAGAACTAAAAACAAAAACCCCACACGTCAATGTGGGGAAATATATGGGTCTACTCTACTCTTGCGGCAAACCAACGAAACCACATGAAAATTGAGGGGAATTTGTTATCAGTTCTTGGCCGTTTGCCAGCGATATTTTAGTGAACAGAACCGGGGTGTCACCGTCGCAGCATCGCCGCGGAACTGCCTAAGGTCGGAGCGGTTACCCCGCGGATGCTTGGAGCGGTGGAAAGTTTCGCTGGTTTCGATTTTGGACATGACCTATTCATTGGATGGTTAGACGAGGGCTCCTTACATTATTTATCATGATTTTGTATTTAGATACCTCATATGAATAATATTTTTTGTAATCTACAGGTATATTATATTCATGTAGTGTAAAGAGATGTGGGTGCGTCTCCGCATTTTTGTGGGGTTCAAAGAGGAGCTTGCAGGCCTTGGTGAAACGTGTTGCTGCTGAGACCCCACCTTTGGTACACACATGCACATGTATACTATATGATATATACTATATATGATATATACTTACATTAGATAGATAAATAGATAGATAGATAGATAGAGAGATTAATTAGATAGATAGATGGATGGATGGATGGCTGGCTAGATAGATAGATAGATGGATAGATAGATAGATATTTGATGATATTTGCTGATATTTGTACATCCGACTGGGTTATTTTTTTTTGGCCAGTTTTTGGCATCACTTTCCACCTCGTGAGCTTTGTAATTTGGGATCGGCCCTGGCCGCTCCTCTCTTTTACTTCGAAACACTTGGGGAGGAGGCTGCGCTCGATGGTGACAGCCTAGTCCTCAGGGTGGAAAATTTGGGCCCAACAACGAAGCGAGCCAATTTCATGACCGGTTCTTCCTAGATCTGGATACCAAGAAGTCTGTCAAATGGCGGCAGCGGTCAAAAAATCTTGACCCATGGGCCATGATGTTGAGCTTCACTCGTCGGATGTCAGTTGTCATTGTTAAAAAAACACATTCCTCCTGCATAAGTTGGCTTGATACCAAGTGACACAGTTCCGTCGACCCAAATCTCGCAGTGGGAAACTTCGGCGGGAATGGTCAGGTGTTGGCTCGCGGTGTTAGCCCACTTTGGCATTCAGCGAAGGTGCTAGCCTTCCATGCGTTGGATCCAAAGCAACTTTGCGAATTGTGAATTGTTGTTGAAGGTTGTTGGCCAAATTGTTTGGATCCATTTCATATAATTATGATTAATTATGTTCAGTACTTGAACCTCCATTTGTGCTGTTGTTTCTAATATGTTTCCTTGGTTTTCAACCCAGAACACCCAGGGATTTTCTGACGACTCAGCCCAAAAAACGGCCACCACTGGCCGCTGCGGCGTGCCACCTTCGCGCTTGCCTTCGCCACGTCACTCGGTCCAAGACCAGTGACGGTCCGGTCCGGACCTCTAAGGAGGCACTAAGCCTGGAAAGAGCCGTGCCAGAGTTCTTCTTCATTCTTTCCTGCTGGTTTCCTGCTACATTTGTTAGTTATAAAATCTTATTTCAACAAATATTAATATGATATGTTAGTTCAATTTAGTTCACATGTCCATAGTTGTCTTAGTTACTTGGGATCTTAGGAACAAATGATATCTTGGACAGGCTGGACTCGTCGTTGTTTTTTCGGTACGGGTTCGCAACGCCATGCAGTCTCCTCTTCAGGTGCGAAAGTGCCCGACTTGACTTCGATGAACCAGATGAACCAGCGATGAAAAGACGGAGAATGTCTGTGAACTTCAACGGTCACATTTGATAAGTAGGTTTGACATGATTTGAGGAATTAATTAGATTCAATCGGCTAAACTTCATTTTAAAAACAAAACTCCAACAAAAATCAACAAGATACAGTTCAGTAAAACCCACTAAGTATAATAAGTAAATTAATTTTAATAAGAGTGATCAATAGAAGCTTTTCTATCTTTTGGGGTGGTGGAGCAACCCTTTCCAATCCCCAGTAACCCTTCCCGACGGTTGTTGACTTGAACTCCGCCGCTTGTTAGACAGATGTCAATAACTATGACTTAAACCGGTTAAATATATATAATAGCGGCAGTCTTTTTGCTACATTCTGATCTTGTTGACTTGAATCCTTTTCCGGCTGCTCATGCATGCTGCATGTTCGTATTTCCCATTGTTCAGGTTGAAAGTCATCAGAACTGAGGTAGCACAAGAGTTATTTCGAGTCATGCGGGCATGAACACCCTTTCTAACGCAAGAGAAACGGTGCAGATATCATACAACAGGGATGCCCTTGCCCACTTATTGTTCATGGAAGGGTAAGCCTGCATTTCTGCACGATCAATAGAGAAATGATATGACAGCCACCAGCCACTTCTCGTATTTCCAAGTGAGTATTTTTTTTGACCGCTACTGTAGCAGCTACATTCCCGTGACATGCAGGCAGTCCCTGTTTTCCATGAGTGAAAGCATGGAAATCAAAAACAATACCAGCTGATCAGAAGTCACACAATAACGTGAAGCCGCGCTGCTGGTCATTCAGCATTGCTCCAATGGAGAATCCACGGCTGGCCACTCGCAAACTGGTGACGTTGGGAAATCAGCAGAAATGGCCCGAAGCTGTGCAGTTGCTAAAGACATTGGCAGGACCCTGCTGGATGTGGCTGGGATAGCAGCAGCCTTCTGCAAAGTGAAACTCACCGTTGGGGTCAGACCTACCGATAGTCAGTTTGTGCGATGGCTGCGTTATTTGAATCTTGATCTTGCTAGTTGAGTTTTTAGTTGCTTCTCAATTTCCTGCTTGCTTGGGGTCCTTTGAAATTCAAAATGCACCAAATAGACACAATTAAACAAAAGCTCCGCTTTAGGAAAAACAGCAGTGAGAATTCGAAGTTAAAAAGGACTACTATTCCTACAGCTCCAAACGCCCTTTGAGACTGTTTTATCGGTGCTGTGGTCTTTGGCGCAAGAAAAGCAAGTTTCAGATTCAGATGGTATTTGGAGCATTTAAAGCAGGTTATTTAATATACCCTCTGGTTATTTAACATAGCCATGGGAAATGGTTCATTTATGGATGGTTTACCTAGCTATAAAATGGGCCATTTCCCATGGCTATGTTCGTCTGTTCGTCACAACCAGATGGTAACAAATAAACTCTTTAACCCAGCTGGTTGGTTCAGCTGGGGCTTTCTGACATTCCAGTAACCAAACATGGTTTGCTGGAAATTCTTGCAGATTTTTAGCCGATTTTGGCATCCAAACCTCCGCTTTTTTATGGCCATGTAAATTGCCAATTTATAGACGGAGTACCTGGAAAATGGCACGCCATTTTCCAGATGGGATATCCCACTAATATCAATATCCCATTGAATCACCATTTTTGGTTAACCACAATTTCCCGTTATACACATATATATATATATATATACATGAATGTATGCATGTACGTATGTATATGTCCCCAGAGGGTAAATGGTGATTTATGTTCATTATATCACCATACCCCCATTCTGGTCGGTTTCAAAACCTCAATTCCGTTCCTTAAATCCACAGTTACAATAAATGTCCATCAAATCCCAGTAAATCACAATTAATCTCCAGGAATTAATCCATTCTTCAGCCATTATTGTTGGTTGTACCCCCCATTATTAACGCGTTACCCTTTGGTCATCTAACATCGCTATGGAACATTGCCCATTCGTAGATGATTGTTGATGATTTACCGATTACATGGTGGCTTTCAATGAAGTATACATGCATGCATGCATGCATCCATACATACAGACAGACAGACATACAGGCATGCAGGCATAGAGGCATACAGGCAGACAGGCAGACAGGCAGTCAGACAGACAGATCCTCATGTTTGTTGAGTAAATCTCCTTTAACCAGCATAACATCACATGAAATTAAATCCCCCAGAGGATAAATAAGACCATCAGTGTATATATATATATATATAGCCTATATAGCCATCATTTTGTTCGTGAACATGTTCCATCTACAACAAACCAACATATTCCACTATTAACCATCAATTAAATACCTATTAATGATTCATGATTATCCCATTAATTAGCCAATATCATTAGCACATTATTAGCCATTACTATTGTTGATGGTTATGTGGTATTATGTTCCCACGTCTCTAAAATATCCATAGGTCCATAGCTATGTTACACAATCATCTTTAACCATGCATAATCATGAAACATTACCATCAACCACCCATGCATATCCCCACGAAAAAATATTGGCCCATTGACTATGAATATCCCATCATTAGTCCATTAGAGCATTCACCATTCCTTACCCATGAAATCCCATTGCATACCCTCTGGTAATTTAACATAGCTATTGAAAATGGCCATTAATTTTATAGTGGATTTACCCATTGAAAATGGTGGATCTTTCCATAGTTTTTTGTATGTTTACCAAAGGGTAATCCATATATAATCCATATAACTATGGAAAGATCCACCATTTTTCATGGCTAAATCCACTATTTCGACTGGGCCATGTTCAATAGCTATGTATTGACATAACCAGAGGGTAAATCCCATTAATATCCCATTGAATCACTATAAAATCCCGTTAAATCACTATAAAATCCCATTAAATCACTATAAAATCCCATTAAAATCCCATTGAATCACTATAAAATCCCATAAAACCAGAGGGTATCCCCAGCAAACGCCAGGAGATCGGATCCAATTGGACGAGATCCACCTTTCGGCCGCCATCCGCGCCTGCGCCAAGGCCGCCTGTTGGACGCAAGCGCTGGCGCTCTTGGAAGGCGCGGAAGGCGCGTGGCAAGTGCGGAAGGACACCGGTGGCGCTCCGGGGCAAGGCGCTTAAAAAAAAGAACGGCTCCAATGGGGATAAAAAACCATGAGAAACCATGCATTTCACATGGTTTTCTGCCAGACACAATAGGATTTGAATGGATTTGACCATTTAAAGACACATGATTTTTACATGATTTAACAAGAGGTGCCATTGAACCATGAGGAAATCGGGATTTAACCACGAAAAGCAACGGTGGATAGAACCACCTTCCAAGAAACTTGAATTAAACACATGAAACATAATTTTAAACACCCAGTGCATAGAACAACAATTTATCATATGTCAGTTATTCAGTTGACCAGGATCTCAAGATGTTTGGCGCTGCCCTGAGCGCCTGTGACCGTGGCAAGCAGTGGCCTTTGGCCCTCGCAGTCTTGGAGCAAATGGAGGTGGAAAAAGTGGTGCCGGGGCAAATCGCCTGCAATTCTGTGGTGCCTTGGAGATGGTAACTGGCAAGGTCTGATACAGTGGGTGCTATGGCATTTGTACAACAATGGTGGACAACACATATTTGGATAAGAGGGTAATCGTGGGTCCAAGTGGTTTGGATGGGAATGATGATGGGGATGGGGGATAGCTAATCCAGCTGGGAACCAAGAAAAGTCAGGTTGAACTGTTGAACCGATGGAAAATTCGGAGAATCATCCCTAGATATCAAGAACGGATTAAGCATTTTTTCGGACCCACAAACATGTTTTTTTCCTCCTGCACACCGGCAAGAATAGGGTCTTAGTCAAACATCGGTCCAAACCAAGTGAAGACATGTTTCAGCCAACAAACATCCAGATTCTGAGTGCGTGGTTTGGATTTACCGTCACATTCTATCAGTTTGGTGGTTTCAAACGCTTCAAACACGATGTTTTGTTGATCTGTCGCTGGTAGCTGGTATGATGGCCCCATCAACTCATGGAATTTTTATGTATTTTTCAGATGGCCCAGCCCATCAACCAATGGTTGGTCACCAAGGGAGCCCCACAATATGAGCTATGTTCACAACCCAGCTGTTCAATTTTAGTGAGGAAGAGGCAGCAAGGACCTCGCTTAAGCAAAACCGTTGGTGTGTGTAAGCCTGAGTAAGCATCAGCGCTTAAACTATTCCTGCTGCAAGCTAAAGTAGTGAGTGCGTAAGCAGCGTGTACGCTACCGCGTAAACATTCTCTTAGCTCCGAAAGGCAAGACCTTTTGACCACGGCTCGTATGGGGCCCCATTGGGCATATGTATCATGTCCCTATCATATCTGAAAAGCATTGAATGTCAACCTTGTCACAACATTGTCATTACCTGCCAATCATATATGACAATGTTGATATACCAACAAACAAGTAGCAGCATGATGTTCATATGGGCCCCATTGATCATTGTGACTACCCTCTGGTAAACTAACATAACTATGGAAAACCACCATTTTTAATGGGTACATCCACTATAAATGGCCATTTTCAATAGCAAACTGTTAGTTTGCCAGAGGGTATATGTCACTATGCTTCTTGGCAATATGTTCATTGAGGTTAGCGCCTGCGAACGGCTGGGACGATGGCAATTTGCCATGGCGGTGATGGAGAAAATGCAGCTGCAGGAGGTGAATCAGCTGCACGGCTGATGCTTAGTTTCTATCATATTTCTGATGGGTTACCCTCTGGTTATGACTAACATAGCCATGGTATAGATGACCCATAGAAATAGATGGTTTACCTAGCTATAAAATGGTGATTTTCCATGGCTATGTTAAATTACCAGATGGTAAATGGTCTAACATGTTTGTTGTTGAAAGAAATTGCACATTAACTTTGACCCACAAGAATGTGGTGGTGCTATATACAAGATATATAAACTATATAATGGGGTTTAAATCCACCAATCATGAAGAGAGAGAGAGAGAGGGAGAAAGAGAGAGAGAGAGAGAAGAAAAAAAGTGATATATATATATATATGATACACATATATATATATCACATGGATATATATATATCACATATATATATATGTATGTGAATACATTGGAAAGAAGACAACCAACATCCATCAACCGTCTTCAAGACATTGGTTTCATTTAGAACTAAGCATAGATCGTAGCAATGTCCGGATTCGGAATCTCATCTTCCGTGGCTTTACTTTTGTTGGTGAAGAGATGTCACGTTTTTTTGGGTGTGTATCAGCTAATCACAGCTAATCGAGCAACACAACATAACAAAGCGTAGGGATGAAAAAGCGACAAACACTGGTTGGTGGTTTGGAACATTTTTTATTTTTCCATATATTGGGAATAATCATCCCAACTGACGAACTCATATTTTTCAGGGGGTAGGTCAACCACCAACCAGTCATTGAATTTCGCTTTGCACAGGCGCAGAATGGACCAGAAAGGAACCACCAATGGCTGGTCAGCGAAAAATGACCTGTTTGGACTTGGACTCGCAGATTGGACCGTGTTTTCTTTGGTGCCATGGTGATAATGGTGCCAACCTCATTCATAGACTCACTTTTACTTCTTAAGAGATAGGAAACCCATGGAAACCTCAAAAACCTGAAAATGATTAAAATGATGGGGTAAAAACATGTAGCAACTCTTCTCTCTCGAATTCCATGGCTGTGGCTGAAAATCGTTGCCCATCCATTTGTTCCAGGTGGAGATGGATACCATCACCTTCTGCACAGCCATTTGCGCCTGCGCCAAGGGACGGGCTTGGTCCAAGGTGCGGCCTCTGCTCTTTTGAGGTGCTGCTTGTTTCAAGGTTGTTTTCTTGGTGATAAGATGAGTAAGATGTTATAAGTTGGTTCATCCACCCATCTATAGCCTTAGCCTCATATATTATATAAAATATAATATATATATATATAATATAATTATATATATTTAGTATATAGGTTCACTTAAATTTGACAATGTATACGCAACTCTGCTCACCATAGATCCATCCCTTTCCACCATCCGCGCCATCCGTGCCATCGTGTGCCCCAGGTGCTGCAGCTGTGGCAGGCCATGTCCACGGCCTCGGTTCCGCGGAACGTCATCCTCTGCAGTGCCACCATCAACGCCTGCGCCAAGGGCAGCCTGTGGCCCCTGGCGTTGAAGGTCTTGGGCTCCATGCCCAGCAGCAAGGTATTTCTCGGGCCTGGGGTCGGGGTCAAGGAACGCCAAGGAATCCACAAATCTGGTAAAACCAGTAGAAATGCTAAGAGAATGAGTAAAAAAAAACAACCATCATCGAGAAAAATGTGGGATAGTAGTGGGGATATAAGGTGATATGACATTTTCTTTAACAACATACTTGGTTCAAAACCAAGAGAAGTGGAGGGACGCAGGTATGCTTCAAGTCGGGACTCGGAAGAATCGGGTCATGTTGCCAAACGCCATGGATCTCTATGTAGGATCATCCCAAGTTACGGCAACTGCCGCCTGACAACCTTCAAGCATTAGGAAGCAGCTGCGCTCCGGCGCCGCACCACCAAGTAGCGACTGGATTTGGACAACCACTGCACTTTCTTTACTGTATATACTGTACATATATATATATATAATAATTATATTATTTTTAAATGATAGATAGATAGATTAGATAGATGGATGGATGGATAGATGGATGGATGGATGGAAGGAAGTATAGACGGATAGATAGAATAGATAGAATAGATATAATAGATGGATAGATAGAAGATGGATGGATGGATGGATGGATGAATGGATGAATGGATGGATGGATGGATGGATAGATCTATACATCTATACATCTATACATCTGTACATATATACGTATATAAATATTTAGGTATGTACATATGTATATATATATATATTCTGTACTTGTTATAAATACCCTTGGGTCATGTCCAGAGGTATCAGCGGTCTTACATTACGATCGCTTTTTTGAGGATTAGTGACGTGTAATGATCACAGATTGCTTGGGTTCGGCTCGTCACATTTCCCCCTCTGGATCAAGGGCTTTTGGGTCCAAAGAATCGCTGTTTGTTGTTCCGTTTTTTGGCGTTCCATGCCTGGCCGGTGGCACAGTGGCACAGTGGCAGGTGGAGCAAAACACGATCACTTTCAATGCGGCCATTTCTGCTTGCCACTCGCTGCAGATCAGCTAGTTGACCCCAACCCCCTTACTAACCATCAATTGCATGGATTCTATACCACCACATGTGTGCATCAATCATCCATTATTCAGATTTATATGGATTAATTATAGATTTATATCAAGTTGAACCCAACTTTTTCATACTTGTTTGCCTCAACCCACCTAGATTCACCTCCTTTTTCCCAGGTGAACGCGGTTCCCAATGGCCCCTGGCACTGGAACTCCTCTTCCGAGAGATGCCACGGATCGCGATACCTCGGAACATCATCACCTACAGCGCCGTCATCAGTGGCCGGGCACTGGCAGGGCCTCAATTTTGTTGGATTTTGCTGCGTTGATGATGAAAAACATGTAAAATTTTCCGGGAGATCCGTGGAAATCCGCTACTTGGGGAATCAAAGATATGTTTTTTTGGGGGGGGCGGTGTTCCTTAAGCAAATGTCAAATCCAAGCTATGAAGGGATTTGAAGCTGCAGATTTTAATTGGGATTTGAAATGTGCCGAGTGTATATGCAAGAAGGATCGCCAAGAATTAGGATTTCACCAGCAAGAAGGGAATTCTTACCAAGAAGCAGCAAGGTGGAGTTTAATCCATAAATATACCAGATGAGGGGGGATGTTTTATCATCACGAGTGCAATGGCATCACCAGAAAAAAAATCTGGATTCAGAGAAGCAAACATTGGATTTAGTTGCGAGAATTCAGAAATGGTATTGAATCATATTGAGTCGATATTGAATGTAGGGCGAAACCTGGGAATTTAATGGAATTTACCCACTAAAAGAACGGGGGGATGCTCCGAGATCAAGAATTTGGATGACCTATGGTATGGTGACCTCACCCGCGAAGGCCAGAAGAACAATCTTTGGTTTTGATTCCTTCATCTTATTTTCATAGAATGCTACCTAGGGGAAGAGCAAAATAATTACACATACTGTAAATACGGTATTACACGTAGCAAAAACCGCCCTAGAACTCAAACTGATTCGTTCATCTTATTTTAGCTGTGTGAGCTCAGCCACATGGGAAGCTCTGGGGGCTAAATCTTCCATCGACGTCCAACATTCCAGCCGCAAAGCTGAACATGGACATGTTTCAACTTTGTTTCACACATTCCAAGATGGTTCGGCGGGTCCACACAGTTGAAGGGTTGAGAACAAAAAGTGACCAGCAATTCAAACCTCACTGGTCATCACCGCTCATGCACATCAACTGAGGTGCTTGCGAAAAGGCTGGGGAATGGCGCAGTGCTTTGCAGATTTTGACCGAGATGCGCCGCATGGAAGTGCAAGCAGCAACTTGGTGCCATTTCTCATGTGACCACTAGACACCTGGGGGCCTGTAAATCACTTAAAAAAAACTTTTTCATTGGACCACCTCACTCTCCATGGCCAGGATACCATCGCATGTAGTGCTGCCATCAGTGCTTGTGAAAAGGCGGCGCAGTGGGAAGTCGCCTTGCAGTTACTGGGCAACACACGGGCAACCTGCGGGCAACATGGTGGGGATAGAGGCCCAACATTAGGTGTGGGGCATAGCCCAGTGCTACCACTGTTCCGTTCTAATCAATCGAAGCGGTGAAATAAACCATAAAAACACATCTTTTATGGGATTGCTTTGCAATTGCCAAGTGCACACTTAAGTTTGCAATTCCCTCTTGCTCAATACTGTTGGTACCCTCTGGCAATTGAACATAGCTATTGAAAATGGCCATAGAAATAGTGAGTTTTCCCATTAAAAATGGTGATTTTCCAGTTCGCTATGTTAAATTACCAGAGGGTAACATACTGAAAACGGATGGACAACGGATGGACTCAACGGCGGTACGCTTCAAGAACCACGAGTCACGAGGCTCCTGGAGGACATGCGCCCGCTGGATGTGTCTGGCATCACCTACTCAGCCACCATTTCAGCCTGTGAGAAGCTCGCCGTCCCAACGGGGTTAGCGGATTTTTTCACGAAAAGGTGGCAGTTGACCAACAAAACACGAGGGAGGGACGAGGGAGGGACGAGGGAGCCTATACACAAACATATAGGATCATATAGGGATATGACCCAACAACTGTTATAAGACTTATCTTACATATCCCTGAGAATCGATGTCGGCATATAGATCAAAAATAGCAATGTCGTCAAAATACGGCTACATCTACGTTAACGCTTGATTTTGGTGACATTTGTCGGAATCTGTCGGAAATCCACCGGATTTTGTCGGAAATTGATGAAACAACGCAGACATCCTTTGTTTCGAAGATGCGCATGCGAGTTGATCATTGCCAATATGTAGTTCAAAATCGTGACAAATCGTGACGAATCATCTTTTTGCCACTTAAAATTATGACATTTGTCGAAAATACCGTGACAAAACGTGATGAACCGTGATCTCTTCAGGATTGACCCCTCATCTTATATCAGCCCTTGTTACTCTTCGCTCGTGCTCATCGCATTTTACGGTAAAGTTATGGTTCCCGCAAATGTTGCCAATTTTTGACTACGGACGTCAAATAATTCATACGGACGTCAAAAAGCAAGGTTTACCGCAAATGTCAGCAAATAGACCCAGTATTTGATTCACAGGGTATAGTTATTTTATGATTTTTAAGCCACTGAAGAGGTGCTTTTTGAATCTTTTAAACCAAAGACTAATCTCTTTTTGGCTCAACCAAATATGGATATGGGACCATCAAACACGGGAATTCACCATCAAGTTGGGGACATCCATTGGACAATCATCGGAGAGGCTATCGCGATGAACCCTGGAGGTGTAAGCCTTGATTGGTAGCTGTGGGACTTCTTTCGTTGCTCAAAATGCCTGAGCTACGGCAGTTTGAGAGGGAATCTGCAAAAGGGCCACATCTTTGGTTTTCCGTGTCTTGGTTTTTCTTGCAACACCAGATGCTCACGTTTCAGGATGTTCTTGGGTATGTGCGTAGTGATTTTCCATACCTTTGCACTTATCTAGGAAACCGGCCGTATTTCCTGTGGGCTCTGACGGCCATCGCTCCCATGTTCCCTTTCTGCGACCTCCAGCAGTACGTGTTGGTGGCTCAATGGTGGTCAACTCCTCTCGTCCAAGCCAAAGATGTTTTTTTTTAGAGGAAATCCTGCAAAATACTCTGAGAAACATAGCTTTGTGTTTGCTTTAGCCACGTCGTTTGGACAGTTCCAAGGAAAGCACAGCAATGGCAGGTGGCCTGTGAAGTGTTCCTTGGATTATTGGAGATGCCATGGGCCTTTTACTGATCGTGGAGAGGTGGTCCTTCAAGTATTTCTAAAAGATCGGCAGACAGATTACACATTTGTCATCTAGGAATCTCGGTGTTAAAAAATGCTCCATTTTAAGTGGCTGTTGTAAGACCCGTGTCCCACAAACATACTCATAGTTCTCACTGGCTATACTTGTGCTGGCGCCTTGTGAGCTTATTCTAGAAAACTGCAATCTTGAAAAAATGCACCATGTAGTGCAAAAAAAAAGTGCAAATCACACATGCCAAGTGCAAAAACACAATGCAAAAACATGCAAATCACACACGCAAGGAAAATGCAGGTGCAAATGCTCAGTTCGCATTTTTTGTCGCATTTTTTTTTTGCTTTTTCCCTTTTTTTTTCCGAAATCATGTTTGTCCAGTTGGTCTCTGATCTGGTTTGCATTTGTTTTGCATGTTTTCTCCATTTCTCATGTTTGCTTCTTTCAGAGTTGCATTTTTCAATTTCTTTTTTTTGCACTTGTTCTTTTTGCATCTCCTGGACTTGCATTTTTCAATCCATTGTTTTTAGCATGGTGTCTCCATTTGTTTCAAGCTGTAAACATGCTGGAGCAAGCGCAATTTGACAGCACAAGGCGACACCTTGCTTGCAAGTCCCCAGCCGCCGCGAGAATCACACACCCATACGTGAGGGATTCGTCATATCTGATGATAGTTGTGTTTGTATAGCTAAGCATTGAAGCGATTTCATCTGCCCGTAAATAGCCAATCATTTAATGGGGGACTCCCTCCGCACTACACTCAGCATATTTTCTTCAAAAATAGAATGGTATATATATAATATAGAATGTTCGACACAATTTCTAGCAACATTAAAAAAATAGAAACGTATTTCCAGGACGGTATAATATTTACCTCATATGTCCAGGTTTCCCACTGTTCTATTTTAACATGTTGGGTTCCGTCAGAATCCGTCAGAATCCAAGGGTGGCCAGGTTTCTTCGCAGCGGCCTTCCCCTGGAAAGTGTTCCCTTTGCTGCTTGCATTGCGGCCTGCTCGCGGAGCGGACGATGGCTAGTGGCGGAGGCGGACTGCTGTGGCTTGCAACACATTGCAAGTTATATCAACTGATAACTTCACTGATAACATCTGTCTGATATATATATATATAATTATATCAAGATATATCAAGTAAGTTTTGTAATATCTGTAAGTTTATAGCATCATCATATATCATATATATATAATATGATCTATACACCTATATTCATAGCTAGTCAAGTAGGACTTGTGGTGTGGATATCTCCGGCGGCCGGATTTCGATAATCACCAAGCTCCAGAGGCAGCTCACGGTCAATCTAGGCCCTAAGTCAGGCAATTGCTACCATACCATATAGCAATCAAAAAGATGGACATGTGGAACTGATATGTTTACCCAATTACTGTATACATTAAAAGCTACTAGACTTTAGTTAACTGAGATATCTTTCCCAATGAGTTTTCATCAAATACAGTCAGTAATCTAACCTCTTGGGACCTGGACCCACTGTGGGATGAACTACTAGGTATTCTCTTAATCAGTTTCAATGGCTGTTACTAAGAATCATTATTGCCGATTATATCTTCTTACAGATGATATATAATCGAAGGAAGTTTAGAAGTCAAACTTCCGACAATATGGACAGATGAAAAGCAGAGCAGGGAAGAGGCAGAGAGAAGAGAAAGATTAGAAGAAAGA